TTCCGGTCCTTGCCGGCCCGCGTTCCTGCGGCACATGTCACGGTTTACCCAGGACTCAGAGCCGCCGATGCCAGCCTTGCTGGTGTCCCTGCCAAGGAGTGCTCAGACCCCGAGTTCAGGTCGCGCCTAGGGGGCCGCCGCCCCATGGACTCTCACCTGTACAGGTTCACAAAGTGCTTCCCCACAGACAGGGCGCCCGAGTGCAAGTCCAAGATGGACGCCTGCAAGAGACGGCAGAGCAGAGCGTGAGAGGGGAGGGCGGGAGGAGATTAACCAAAGATCTTATATGCATAGGAGAGGCCTGGTGCATGGATTTGTGCACCGGTGGGGTCCCTCGGTCTGGCCTGCAGGGATTGGGCCAAAACCGGCAGTCCGACATCCCCTGAGGGGTCCCGGATTGCGAGCGGGCGCAGGCCAGGCCAAGGGACTCCACTGGTGCATGAATCCATGCACTGGGCCTCTAGTATTATTATATTTAAAATAATTTTACTTGAAATATTAATGTTTATTGTACGTAACATTATTATATTTAAAATCGTTCTTCTTTAAATATATATTCAAAAAAGGTCAGGCAGGTGATCACAGGCATATTCAGACATTCCAGCAAAGTCTGTGGATGAGTCGGCGAGGAGTTTCTACACCGAGACTGGGTCAGGTGCAGGTGGTGCCAGAACTCAGGGGTCAGCAAACCACGCAGAAGGAATCTTCCCGCGCTCCACGCGCCCAGAGGACCCATGTTCAGGAAACCACACGAGAACTCAAGCCAACGAGATCTCAAACGAATGAGATCGCAAGGAAACAAGATTTCAATCTAACGTCCCATGCACTAGGAGGTCCCGTCCGATTCCCGGTCAGGACACATGCCTGGACTGTGGGCTCGATCCCCGTAGGGGGGGTGCAGGAGGCAGTCGAGCAATGTTTCTCTCTCATCGATGTTTCTGTCTCTCTCTCCCTTTCCCTCCCTCTCTCTGACATAAATAAAGACATTTATTAGCCGAAACCGGTTTGGCTCGGTGGATAGAGCGTCGGCCTGCGGACTGAGGGGTCCCGGGTTCGATTCCGGTCAAGGGCATGTGCCTGGGTTGCGGGCACATCCCCAGTGGGGGATGTGCAGGGGGCGGCTGATCGATGTTTCTCTCCCATCGGTGTTTCTGGCTCTCTATCTCTCTCCCTTCCTCTCTGTAAAAAATCAATGAAATATATTTAAAAAAAAAAAAAAAAAAGACATTTATTAAACAAAGGAGCCAAGAGAAAACGGAAGCAGGAATCGCATACAACTCACCCCTCCGTCGGATCCTCCCAGGGACAGCCCCTTCTCCGCTATGCTGCGGGAAAGATCATTTTAGGTCAAACTTGTTAGTCACCTCACCTACGATATGGCTAAGCAAGTGCCACCCCCACAATCAATGCAACACGAACAGGCTGTAAGCACATGGTGAGACCACGGCTCAACTTCCAAAGCTGAGTGAGTGAACGGCGATGTTTTATCATCTGTTGACAACACAGAACACGGCTCTGGAACAAGTGGGCTCCACAGCCGTCTGCTGTGCTGAGTGGCTGCACTGCCCCTAGGGGGTCCCTGTTCTGTCTCCACAGCTGGGGGGCAGCCTCTGGGACCCCCAGGTCAGGGAGTCGAGGCCGCGCGGTGGCCCTGCTGACCTGACAGGACCACCGACCACGAGGAGGCAAGAGCCTCCAGTGCCTTGAGCAGGTGCTTGCAGCGCCCAGCAAGCTGCCCGGAAGGTCAACCCTAAGCCAGTGCCCTCGCCAAAGAGCCCACAGCGTCGTCTGGAACGGGACGGGAGCACCTCCCATCGGGACTCGCTCAGCGTCCAGCTTGTGGCTTGCGGCTTGCGGACGCCAACCATGTTGACCGCAGCCCAAGGGCGAGCCTCCACCCCACCCACCGCTCGCTTCCAAAGACATTCTGTGTCTGAACAGCGCATCGGAAAGTCTAAGCGTGAAAATCCTGTTTTTAAAATTTCAACCAGGAAAAACCCACCTGCTTCTGAGTAAGACTTCCTGCTAGTGGCCGAAGGGCTCATCCCCACCCAGTTCTCGAGGACATGGAGCCAGTACGGAGTGACCCCCTGCTGTGGGCGAACACCCAGCCTCTACGCAGGCAGCACCCGACCCGACCACCCGAACGGGTCAGAACCGCTTTCCGGGGAGGAACCCGCTTCACAGCGGGCAGCAGCCTTTCCTGGAACCCAGACACGCCTACCCTTGTCTTGGGAGCACACAGGAAATTGTAAATGAATTCTCTAAGTCATCCTGTTAGTAGGAATTCTCAGCTCCCCTCCTGCTCCGCGCCCCCAGCCCCAGATTCCTGCTGGCTCGGGACAGAAGCTCGAGGGTGTGAGGGTGCGTCCGTCCTACCTGCGGATCCGCAGGGCCTCGTCCCTGGTGATGACGGCGTCGGTGATGCCGCGGCCACACTTGGTAGGGGAGCAGCCTGGAGAGAGAGGAGCCTGGGTGAGAGGTCAGCCGATAACAAAGCCTGTGGGAGGCCCTCCCGGGGACAATGGGGTTTTGTGGGATGCGGCCCCCAGCGTGAGGAGTCCCTCCTGCTTCTCTCCCCTATGAGAGGAGAGGGCTGGCGAAGGGCTGCCCAGAGGCTGTAACATACACGCCCGCTGTTTTTTTATTGTGGTAAAATACACGTCACAAAACCTGCTGCTTTAGCCGTTTTTACGCGGGTAGTTCAATGGCATAAAGCGCACGCGCATGGTTGTGCAGCCATCACCCCACCCAGCCCCAGAGCTTGGTCATCTTCCCAAACCTGATACCCCTCCCCATTAAACACGAATTCCCCCCCACATTCCAACGGTGTGTAATGTTGATGAAGTATTAAATGGGTGGGAAGCAAACTTCTCTTCAGCTCCAGCCACCGAAAAAGGTCTCCTGAACCCTGGGCCTCGGAGGGAAAGGCCACCTAAGAAGCGCCACCCACAGGGCCCGCGCCTTCCCCGCGCTCAGCGGCACGAATACCCCCGCCCCCCGCCACCCCGCATTGCATTCCGTCCCGTTACACCCCCTTATGTGCAGCCCAACAGCGCCCCCTGGTGGAAGGACCTGGCAATTCCTTGGTTCACGTTCCAAGCCTTGCTCTAAGAGAGAAACTGAATTCTGCCTGTAAAACCCGGCCGCTCAGGCTGCGGCTTTTCAAACGGAGACAGCATCCACGGAGCAGGGGACCGAGCGGGAATGTGCAGCTGCCGGAGGCCCGAGGGCGCGGGTCTCACCGCCTAGGCCCCGCTCCGCCGAGGTCGGCGCTCTCTCCAGGGTGCTGAACCCGCCGGCTCTCGGCCTCGGGGCACCTGCGGACACAACCCGCGGCCCTTAACCAGACCCTGACCTCGCCCTCCTCCTGCCTCTCAGAGCCGAGGGCCCCACGATGGGACCGGCGCCCAGGTGAGGGTAGGGCCTCTGACTGACGTTCCCGATTGCACGTTTCTGCAGCCAATGCCTTTGCTGGTTTCCACGTCCGCAGTCCTCTCGCTCCAATCCTGTGCACCCTCCAGGCAAGCCTCCTCCATCGGGCAGCAGCCACAGCGAGGGGCCTCCGCGAAGCCCTGGCCCCGGCCTCCCAGGTCCTCCAAGGTGACCAACGGGCCTGCCCTGCGCAGGGCCTGAAACACCGGCACTCCCCAGCCCAGGTGTGCGTAACAAACCCGGGGAGGGGCAAAGGTCACCTGCCACCCCCACCCTTTCCACCTGATCCCCACCGTCGCCCTGTAGCAAAAGATACGCATGTTAAACACACCGCATTTCCTGCTAACGCGCCGCCCCTTCCTGGGTCCCCAGGGCGCCACCTACCTTCAAATCGCCGGTGACTGTTATAATCCTCCGAGCAGGGCACCTCAATGAACCTGCCGGGCAGGACCTCACCGCGGCGAGCCAGGACCTCGGTGACCCCGTCATCGCCCCCCGGGCTGCCCCAGAGCAGGAGTGCGGCGAGCGCGGCAGCAGCCCCCAGGACGGCGGCTCTCAGCCACTTCCTCCGCACCTCCCGCGGCGCCCGGGCACTCTTCATGCTGAGGACAGAACGCACACCGTGGCCCCACCGGCACCGGCGTGGGCGGGAAGGCAGACCATGGCGACCAGAGGCACGTCCACCGCGGCTCACAGCCCTGACCTGACCCTACACTAACCGCGGTCAGAGCTACTGTCAATCAACAGAGGACCTGCCAGGGGGTGGAGTGCGGTGGGAATGTGGGGAGTCCGGCGTGGAGCCATCGCCACACACGGGGTTGGGGGTCAGTAAAGGTTTCGGGCGGGGAGCCCTCCTTCCACCCCGTGATCCCCGGCCCAAGCCACCCCGGCTTTGGGCTGCCAGGCTGACTGAGGGTGCCGGAAGGGGCGGGATTCTGCTGGCCCCACCCACCCACACGACAGCCCCGCCCCGCCCCGACAGACCACGCCCTCTTTTGGACGATACTCCCAGGGAAGCCCCGCCTCCATCAGAAGGCCCCGCCCACCTCCAGACAGACCACGCCCACCGGGCAGCCCCCTCCGGCCACGCCCACGGCTCGGCCCGCTGCCGGCGAGCTCTCGCCCTCCCTCCGGGCTGCCAGTACCTGCTCGGGCGCCTGCGTTCGGCCGTCCCGCTGCCTTCGGGCGCCTTGGGCGCCCCCCTCCGCTGAGGCGCCATCGGGCCAGCCCGTCACGGAGCCGGGCCGAACGCGGGAGCCGCCGGAGCCGCCGGAGCCGGGACGAGCGGCGCGAGAGGGAGCGCGAGGCAGGCGCGGCCGGGGACGCGGGGCGACACGCTCGGCCGTCCACTCCGGGGCTGGCGGCCAGACCCGAGCAATCGCCAGCCGAGCGCTGCCAGCGGACCCGGGCGCGCACCCGGCAGGCACCCCGCCCCGCCCGCCTGGAACCCGCGGAGCTCCGAGCCTCTGGGTGCCGCGCGCCTCCCCCTCCCGGCGCCTCCTCCCCGGGGTCCGCGCCCTCCTCCAGCGCCCGCGCCCTCTGGGTGGGGTCTGCCACCCCGAGCGCCGGCACATGGTGCTCAGCAGGGGACCCGCAGGCCCTCTGGGTCGGGACTGAGTCGGAACCAGCCCTGTCGAGGCACCTAGGATTCTGGATAAGCCGAGTTAGCAATGAGGCTCATTCATGAGAAGTGAGTCTGAGGAAGGTGAGTCACTTACTGATGGGGATGGGGGCGGGGGGGTAGGAAGGAAACCGTCCAGGGCCTGTCGGACTGAAAAGAGTTCTGCCCCGCAGTCCTGGCACTGGGGACGGGGGTGCCATCGAAGGCCACTCCGGGCCGTGGGCCCCGACCTGGGAGCCGCGGAACCAGCCACAGAACTGCGGAAACGAACAGGGACAGCGGCCCAAGTCCCTGAAATGATCTCATTTCTGTAGCTTCTCGCAGGAGGGAAGCAAAGGAATTCGCCTCACGAACTGGAGCTGACTTCTCGCTTCTGTTCCTTTGCATTTTAGCAGGAAGCCGGCCGGAAGGTTTCAGGTTGATTGATTCCCGGCCAGGGGCTCAGTGCCCAGTGGGGGGCGTGCAGGAGGCAGCCCGTAGGGAGAGCATGAATGTTTCCCTCCCTCGCCCTTCCTCTCTAAAAATCAATAATAAAAAAATAATCCTCACGTGCAACAGTCGCCGCTCTTTTTACCCCATTGTTACAGGGTGACAGGGTTTCTGTCTGAGTAGGAGACGCACACGTGACCATGCAGAGTTCTCAGCTCGAAGTGACTCTTTTAAATCTATTCGTTGAAAAGTCGGTTTGGTTTGTAAGATTTTAAAACAATTCAGCTTTGAAAAGCATTGCCGTTTTTCAGAATGTTTTTTCATACATTTCATCTACCCCCTTGGCTGGGTAGTTGCCTTAAGAATTTCGTCACTGAGATTGTCTTGAATATAATTTCTTTGTTGTTGTTGTTAATCCTCTCCTGAGGATATTTTCCCATTGATTTTTAGAGAGAGTGGAAGGAGGGGGAGAGACACAGGGAAACATCGATGTGAGAGACACATCAATTAGTTGCTTCCTGCAGGCGCCTGACCAGGGCCAGGGGTCGAGCCTGCAACCAAGATGCGTGCCCTTAACTGGAATCAAACCGAAACACTAACCTCTGAGCAAACGGCTGGGGCTGTAATTCCTTTTTAAAAGACATCAAGTGGATTGGTTTCTGGATGCATCTATTTTGTCTCCCCTCTGCACTACAGACTCCTCAAGGCCAGGTTTATGAGCCTGTGTGGGGGCGTAGTTGGAGTTACTGAACTGTATCTGTGACCAATATAGCAAGGGTTTCTTTTCCCATGAATCCTCTGTGCTCTTATAGTAGAAAAAAAAATTTCACTATTTCCAGCTGCTTCATTGTCATCCAAACACTCCCTTCACATCAGCATAAACCAGCCAGCCCTGAGACACGTGTGGCTCATCCATTTTCCAAACAATTAAAATTTTTGCCCTTAAAAAAATTCAGGTACAGTCGACATGCAGTATTATAGGAGTTTCAGGTGAACAATGTAGTTATTCAACATGCCAATCCATGGCCTGTTTTAAATCCTGGGCAGTTTTCTCTGACCTAGAGGAAATGTTTGCAGCTTCTGCATGCAAGCGGCTGACGTCAGCTCTAGAAACGTAAATATTCGTGATGTTATCCAATGAAAAGTAAAATTGAGGATAAACTTTCTACTAAGCCGTATTGTGGGGCCTGACATGGTGTTTGGAGACACCTGCCTGTTTTCGAGGATGAAGGGCCTTTAAGACGGGAGGATCCCTGCAGGCACGCGTGTTACCAGACCAGAGCCTCTGATGAGGGGACCAGTGCTGGTCCACTTCAGGGGCGGATCACACTGAGACACACGCCTTGATGTGTGAGCCGTGATCACACTGAGACACACGCCTTGATGTGTGAGCCGTGATCACACTGAGACACACGCCTTGATGTGTGAGCCGTGATCACACTGAGACACACGCCTTGATGTGTGAGCCGTGATCACACTGAGACACACGCCTTGATGTGGGAGCCAGTTTGGGGGAGTGAGTTTCCTCCTCGCTAGTAGCTGAGCTGGACAGGAAGCAGGGGGCTCGCTCTTAACTCTGACTTTCTCTACCAGGAAGAAGGGCCGGGACAAGAGGTCTTTGTCGTGTGACTTCCCCCAAGACGGCGAGATGTCGGGCTCCTCGCCGTTCAAGATGCGGTTTGTGCACCTGGACCTTAAAGGAGCCCCGCCGAAGGTCTCGTACCTCTCGGAGGTGGGAGCCCCCTTTACCTCGAGGGGAGCCCCCGGGTTGGTCTCTAAAGGTGCGGGCAGTGTCCTGTAGAAATGTGTGCTCAGAGCTCAGCCGCGGGGCCTGGCTGGGCCACAGAGCAGCCAGGAGAGTCAAAGGAAAAACAGGATGAAGAGACACCCAACCTCTTCACCGTGGGCTGAATGTGTCCCCCAAAACAATACGTTCAACCCCTGGCCCCTCGCACCTGTGACCGGGACCCGGTTTGAAAATAGGGTCTTTGCAGACATTGTCAGGTGAGGGTGTCGGTGGTTTTGTAATTTACAGTTAATTACCGATTACGGTTTTATGAGCATTACGGCTGATTTCTCCTCCCAGCTGACGCCCTCCTTCCCTGCAGCCTGTCTCAGAACGCCTCAGGCTCTAGGGCAGTGGTGCCCAACCTTCTGGCCCTTTAAATACAGTTCCTCATGTTGTGACCCAACCATAAAATTACGTTCGTTGCTACTTCGTAACTGTCATGTTGCTACTGTGATGAATCGTCATGTAAATATCTGATATGCAGGATGGTCTTAGGCGACCCCTGTGAAAGGGTCGTTCGCCCGCCAAAGGGGTCGCGACCCACAGGTTGAGAACCGCTGCTCTAGGGAAAGAACGCTTTGCCACCAATGTCCACAGGAGTGGACAAGTCAGACGAGCTCTGGGACGGCCCTCGCCTGGGCACAGGCTGCTGTTCCCGTATCTGCAGGGGGCCTTCCCTGGTGCCCACAGGGCGCCGCTGTCACCCTGCGTGGCGCCAGACGGGAAGGAGGTCCCAGCTCTGTGTCGCACACACGACCTAGTCCTAGCAATCCTTGAGGGCAGGAGTTCATACCCTTTGAAATAAAGATGGCGTAATGGGGAGGGGGGAGGGGGCCTGTGAGGTAGCCAGGACCAGCCACTATGCTCCCTTTTATTTTTTTAATATATTTTTATTGATTTCAGAGAGGAAGGGAGAGGGAGAGAGAGAAACACCAATGATCAGAGAAAATCATGAATTGGCTGCCTCCTGCACGCCCCACCCTGGGGATGGAGCCCACAACCCAGGCACGTGCCCTGACCGGGAATTGAACTGTGACCTCTTGGTTCATAGGTCGGCGCTCAACCACTGAGCCACGCCGGCCGGGCCCCACTTCCTCTAAGGTTCCTTCCAGCCGCACACCACCCACCCCAGCCCTGCCAGCCCCCCGTCTCCTGTGAGCTGCTCTCTGACTGTGGCCGCCTGCCCTGCTGGCCCGGCCTCCCCCCAGCTTACCCGCCATGAGCTGCTGTTCCGGGGCAGCTGCTGTAGAGCGAGTGGTCCCCTCGCCCAGTGTCCCTTGAACATGTCACTGCGTTAGAGAGTTTGACTGACATGACACAGCACACGTTCCAGGTGACAGTTTCCAGGGAGGAGAGGAGTCCGACAGAGACCCGTGTGCAGAGCGAGAGACGCCGCGTGCTGCCCGTGTCACTTGCTCACACCCCTCTCCCCAGATCTTCCCGCTGTTCCATGCCCTGGGCGCCAACGGCCTCCTCATCGAGTACGAAGACACGTTTCCCTACGAGGGTCCCCTGAAGCTGCTGAGGGCCCCGCATGCGTACAGGTACTGCCCGCGAGGGTCACCACCTGCAGAGAAAACGGGGTGGAGGGGTGGGGGCGGCAACCTGGGGGTTCGGGCAGGGCAGGCGAGAATTTCACGACAGTGAGATAATCCCGTCTGTCGTTTTAAATGCACGTCTTCAGCTATAGACATAAAACGAGTTCACAGAATAGTAGAGAAAGTAAGCGAAGCCGTGATCCCCACGGGGCGTGATCTTGGTGCCCCAGGTGTGAAGGGCGGGGAGGAGCTCTGACAGATACCAGGCAGGGGGAGGAGGCCGCTCCCGAGGCCACAGCGGGTCCCCATGGGAAGGTGGAGGTTAAAGGGGAGAAGCTGAGTTCATGACATCGGACATGGTGCTCCGGGTGCCCCCCGCGGGCTTCGAGATCACGGTGTCCATGTGAATCAGTAACAAACAGCCCAGCCTGACCGGCGCGGCCCCATGGTTGAGCGTCAGCCTATGAACCAGGAGGTCACGGTTCAATTCCCGGTCAGGGCACATGCCCGGCTGTCAGTGATTCTCATCAGTGATGTTCCTATCTCTCTCCCTCTCCTTTCTCTCTGAAATCAATAAGAAATACATTTTTTTAAAAAAAGACTAGACAGGGAGCATTTCAGGCTGTGCCCAGCTGGTCTGTTACCACAGCTGTCCCATGTGAGGGCCGTGGCCAGCCATAGGTGACGTGAATGACTGGGCGTGGCTGTGTCCCAACAAAACCATTAGTGGACACGGAAACATTTCTCTGAACCGTTTAATAACGTAGAAGCCATTTTTAGGTCATGGCTGCACTAACACCCGCGGGGAATTTGCCCTCGGCCCGCCTGCCGACCTGCGCTGCCATGACTCCTCGCGTGGCAGTTTCTGGTACAGGGACTGCAGCGTCCTGGGGTCTGGGTGAGAATAGCTGGTAAACAGCAAATGTCACTTGAGGCCGTGACGGCCCAAGTCCTAGAGCAGGAGCGTCTCTGAAACCCCAGGATATTGTGGAGCTTTTCGGTGTTAGCCGCGTAGTTTCCTCGGGAGAGTCCCGGGCGCTGGCGAGGAGGCCTGGGGAGTGTGAGTGGAGCTGGGACCCTGTCTCGCAGCCCCAGTGAGGTCACGGAGGTCCTGCGTCTGGCCGCCGCGCACGAGCTCGAGGTGGTCCCCTTGGTGCAGACGTTCGGGCACATGGAGGTAAGTGGGCTGGACGGGCGTCGCCTGCGCCCAGGTGTGGGGGTCGGGGGCGCATCGGCTGGAAGCAGCCGGCGCTGCAGGGACAGGCTCTCAGAAGCCCCTGCGGACAGGCGTGCCCGGCTGAGGGTCAGACCTGCTGGGCAGGGACCTCCAGCCACTGTCGGAAGTTTGAACCCAGAGGCGGCCTGTCCGGTCCAGGCGTGAGCTTCTCTCCCCGTGAGACCAGCACCCCCCTTACGTCCCCTCCTGCAGTTTGTGCTGAAGCATGAGGCTCTCGCCCACCTCCGAGAAGTGGCGCTTTTCCCCAACACCCTGAACCCGCACGAGGCGGAGTCGCTGGCGCTGGTGGGAGCCATGGTCGACCAGGTGCTGGAGCTGCACCCGGGAGCCCGGTGGCTCCACATCGGCTGCGACGAGGTGGGTTCTGCGTCAGGTCTCTGCCCCCAGGTCCACAGGCTCCCGTGTCGTCACGTCAAGGCCACCCCCCACCTCGGGGGGAAACAGCCCATGCGTCCACACGCCCACGATAGAGAGGGCAGGCGTGGTGGACATCTGCTTCTTCCCCTCGCGCTGCCATGGAAGGGACCCTCGAGGGGGAGTTCAGGTCTCGGCGAAGAGGCAGGTCGCCCTCCACTGCCGCTGCCTCCCGTGCCTGTGCCCCCCGTGCCTGTGCCCCGGCCCTGGGTGCTCCCAGGCGGGTTGGAGGCCAACGGGCCTGTCTTCCCTCCTCCAGGTCTATTACCTCGGGGAGGGCGAGGCCTCGAGGCAGTGGCTGCAGCAGGAGCAGAACACCACGGCCACGCTGTGTCTGTCCCACATGAGGGCCGTGGCCAGCCACGTGCAGGCCCGGCACCCGGCCACGACGCCACTGGTGTGGGACGACATGCTGCGGGACATCCCTGAAGACCAGCTGTCAGGTCAGCGGCGCGTCCACAGGAGGAGGCGCCAGCTGCTGCTGAGCCCCGTCTGCTCAGGGGACTGAGTTCAAACGCAGTGGAGCTTTGCCATCCACAGTCCCGTCGGCCACGGTTTAAATGTCCTCACACGGAAGGCGCCCTCCCCCTGGAAGGCACCTTAGAGCCTGGCAGGAGGATGGGAGCACTGGGTCCGACCTGGGGTGGCCATGAGGCCCGGGGCCCTGGCCATCGGGGGTGGGCGGCTGGGCCACAGGGAGCCCTGCTTCCCGCCCTCTGGCCCTCTGTCCGCTTGGCCTCCCCTGCACGGACGCTGGTGAGGTCCTGGCCTGAGGCTTTGGGCGGAGACGGGAGATTGGTGTGGTCACTCACAACTCTGGCCAGAGCTGGGACGGTGCGGTGCCCACGTGGAGGCCCACCTTCCGCAAGGCTCAGCCAGCACCCACACGTGGCCCCCTGGGCCTGTCTTCCCTCCTCCAGGTCTATTACCTGGGTTTGAACTTGGGTTTGTTACAATTAAGTCCAATTAGTGCACGTTCCTGTTGCGCGTGGGCCTGGTGCCCCTAGGGGAGTGCTGGGCCGCGGGGCTGGGTCAGGGCTCCTGGGGCCGGGCCGTCCCAGGGCTGGCTGGCTCCTGGCGTGGCATTTCCACCGTGAGCAGTGCAGTGTGGAGCGTGTAGAAAAGATGGTGCGTGTCCCCTTTTCATGCAAGCAGCGGGGGCCGGGGCGTTCCGCCGGCCGGCACTCACAGCCTCTCGCCCGCAGCGTCTGGGGTGCCGCAGCTGGTGGAGCCAGTGCTCTGGGACTACGGGGCCGACCTGGACGTGCAGGGCAAGGGTCAGTACCGAGTCGCTGGGGGAGGCCCTGTCACCTGATGCCCGGGGGGACACGGGGCCTCTTTCCTGGCTCATCAGAGCCTGAGCTGCCTCTGTTTCACCACAGACTCTCCCTGGGGGGCCGGGTCCCAGGGAGCGGCCTGCGTGTCCTGTGGCCGGTCCTCACGGGAGGGCCTGTCCTGTGGGGGCGGGAGGTGGGCTCCCTGAGCGGGCGCTGTCCAGGCCGGGCGTGGGCTCCTGTGGTTTCCCTCCGCACAGCGGTGTTGGGCCACGTGTTCCGGGCTTGGTGGCCGCAGCCTCCTCGGCCCTGGCCCAGGCACCTCGCTGTCTCGTCAGCCCTCCTCATGGAGAAGTACCGGCAGTGCGGCTTCCCCCGGCTGTGGGCCGCCAGCGCCTTCAAGGGGGCCACGGGGCCGAGCCAGGCCCTGCCCCCCATCGAGCACCACCTCCGGAACAACCTGCAGTGGCTGCAGGTGGCGGCCCAAGGGCGGAAGGACACACTGCAGGGCATCATCCTGACTGGCTGGCAGAGGTGAGCAGCCCGGAGCCCGTCCTGGAGGGCGAGGCAGCTCCCATGGCCAGGACACACCGCCCTCCTCGCCATGCAGGCTGGGCTCTGACCGGGAGGGAAGGGCAGATGCTCTGTGGATGGCGGGGGAGCAGCCAGGGTCCCTCACACCCTGTAGCTGCCCCCAAACTCTGCCCAGGGCATGCTGCCGCCTGGCCCCGCCCTGTGACCCGCGTGCCCGTCCACGTCTGCAGCCTCTGGGAGGCCACACGCAGCGACTCATGCACAGTGGGGACCAGGACAGAAACTGGCTCTTCACGATCTCATACCAGTTGCAAATCTGAGCTATGAAAGGACCCTGGTCCCGGCCAAGTCCCACCTGGGATTGGAGCCAGGGGAGAGGCAGGTGGCCAGGCACCAAGGGCAGGGAAAGCGGACCCGCGGCAGCTGGAGGCAGGGCCTTTGAGGGGAGCCATGCCCTCGCCCTCACTCACAAAGCCGAACCCTGAGGATTTCAGGGTGGCGACCACAGAGCACTGAGCCTGGCTGGGCGGCGGGTGGGCCTGCACACCCGGGAGCCAGGGGTGTTTCCCGAGGCAGCAGCCAGCTCTGCAGACGCTTCTCGGTGCCGTCCTGGTGCAGGGACCGGTGCCAGCGTCTGCTGCCGGGAGCGGGAGCGGGAGCTGAGCGCCCTCTCCTGTGGGCTCAGGTACGACCACTTCTCTGTGCTGTGTGAGCTGCTGCCCGTGGGCATCCCGTCGCTGGCCGTTTGCCTGCAGTCGCTCCTACACGGTAAGGTGCCCTGCTCTCCCTGGAGGCCGGGGCTAGGCTGTGGCCTTCCTCAGTGGTTTGGGACGAGGCTCCTGCCCCACTCGCCACCACCCGCCACTGCAGCCAGGTTCCCAAGCCTAAACCCGAGACAGGCTAGGAGGTCAGGGGAACGTGTGCCCGGACACAGTGAACCTCGAGAAGAAATCCATGCCGCCTCGGGCAGGACGGTGCTTCTGCCTCGGCTGCAGGGACATCCCGGCGCCTGGTGCTGGTGGGCTGGGGAGGTGGGCGCCACGGGAGCGCCGTGATGTGTCCGGAGCGGTGACGGACCTGCCACCTCTGCTGGGTTCCAGGAGGCTTCACTGAGGACGTGAGGGCACGCGTGCAGCACCTGCTTGGGATCTCGAGCCTGGAAATCGCCGGCGTCCTGAGGTGACCCCCCAGCCTCCGCGCTGCCCCCCCCCCCCCACGCCTGGCCCCATCTCAGCGCCTGGGTTCTCTGTGCAGCGAGGGGACCGGCTCCTTCCCTGGCAGTGACATCCTGGCCCTCGTCATCCAAGTCAGCCTGCACCTGCGCAGCTCTGTGGACGAGATGCTGCAGATGGACAGGTGAGCGGGGCCTGGGCGAGAGGGGGCACAGGGGAGTGTGGGCACGGGCGAGGGGGGGCACAGGGGAGTGTGGGCACGGGCGAGGGGGGGCACAGGAGAGGGGGCACAGGGGAGTGTGGGCACAGGGGAGAGGGGGCACAGTGGAGTGCCCCCACACACACACCCAAGGCGAGGGCCTGCCCATCCTGCACCAAAACTTTCTGGGGGGAAAACAACTTGTTAAAATGTCTGGGAGACTGGAATGGCCTCAGAGGTGTCACTGAAAACCCCCGAGGCTTCCTGGCCCCCGTCCTCGGGGCCCACCTGTGTGGCGCTTCCCCCAGGTACGTGACAGGCTGGTTCAGCCCCTACCACCGCAGGCGGAAGCTCATCCACCCGGTCATGATCCAGCACATCCAGCCCCAGGCGCTCAGGTAGCCCCTGCCCCCGCCGTGCCCACCCTGGAGCTGGCGTCCTCTGCCACACGGTGGCTGTGCTCTGTGGCCACCGGCTGTCCCGAGCCTGGATTCCCAGGTGCCCCTGAACGTTAGTGAAGCCAGCGTGTTCCCAGCCTGAGGAGGGAGGGTGACCAGAATGACCAGGCAGGGTCCAGGCTCATTGTGGAGCCAGACCACCGGGGCCCATCCTGGCCCACCAGCTGGCATGAGCCCACGTCCTCCCTGGCACCAAGGAGACAGGGTCCTGCCAGCCAGGCCTCTGGGCACTGGGCTCTGTGCAGACTGTCCCTGCTGAGTGTCAGTGCTGTGCACCCTTGATGGGTGTAGGTCTTAAGGAAATCCCAGGTTCAGATGTTAAAATGTGTCCTCAGTCATTGATTCCCAACAATGCGACAGCGTGTTGCACGGATGGGTAAACCGAGGCATGGACTGCTCCGATGCGCGGGATCCTCACGGCTGCCGGGCTCTCAGTCTCCTGGGCAGGTGGAGCGGCCTCGCGCAGGAGCTGGCGGCCGCCCTGCGCCGCGTCTTCCCCGAGGGCACCGTGGAGGAGTGGCTGCAGGAGAACGTGCACCCCAGCTTGGGGCAGCTGCAGGCGCTGCTGCAGGACCTTGAGGCCGCCAGCCCCCCACCCCCACCAGCCAGCCCCGGCCCCGCGCAGGCCAGGGCCCCTGAGGACATGGGGGCACACCCCGTCCCGTCCAGCTCTGTCTGCCCAACACTCGCCTCCTGCTGAGCCCAGGACACCAGGCAGCAGGCCCCTCGGCGCAGGTGGTCATGGGGAGAAGGGGCTGAGACGGGAGGAGACGCCCGTAGGACCTGTTCACTGATCTGCACGCAGAACTTTAATTCTCGTGAAATAAAGAGAGTAGAAGCTAGAGGTCAGGCTGGCAGGAATGTGACCGACCTCGCTACCACCTGGCTGCACTCAGGTGTTCACAGGGCCTGGAGGGTCCACAACAGTCCCACCCGGGGTGTGTGTGGGGGGGGCAAGCAGGCTCTCAGCCCCCAGGGGAGCAGACGTGCACAGCTCGGTACAGCGGTTCATGTGGAACCCAACTCGAGCAGGTCCGAGCCACCTGTGCTCAAGCCAAGGGCTGGTCGCAGCCCCTGCTGAGAAGGGAGACCCACAGAGACCACGGTCCATGTCACCCGGCAGCGCAGCCCATGGGCGATCCAGGCTCTGCCTGCTGGTGCTCGGTGCCCAGTTCCGTGGGTGCAGCCCACTTCCTGCCCCACAAAGGGGCCCGGCTGACAGGTCTTCTCAGGTTCTAGAGAAGCTGCATCTGGCGTCTCAGAGCGAGGTCCCAGCTTGAAACAGTGCACGAGGCTGGGAGAACCTCTTCTTGCCAAGCAGGCTTTGCCAGGGCTGAGGGGACGGGATGGGAGGGGATCTGCCCCAAGACAGCACAGCACCATCCTGGTTGGTCCAAGACAAGCTGAAGCCTGGCGGTGACCTTGGAGCTGAATGCCTCAGGGACCGTGTGGCCAACCTCAGTTGGGTGCAGGAACACCAGCCTCAGGCCATGCCCTGGGGAGCCTGCCCCCCCTCCCCTTTCAGAGGCTGGAGCACACCCGGCTGGTTGGCTGTGGGGTGGATAAGCCCAGACCAGGCCACGCCACCCACCGCACTCACGCCCACACCGCCCAGGCTGGGGCCGCCTGGCTCCCAGAGGCAGATCCGAGGCCACACCCTCCCCGGGCGCCTTGGAGCCCAGCCGTGGCTCTATGCAGAGGGCAGCAGCAAGTAGCAGGAGTGGCCCAGGGCCCCGCCCAGGGGCTGCTGGGGACACAGCTGGGTGGCGAGGAGGAAGGCTGGCCTGCTGAGGCACCATCAGATCCACGGCCGCGGGCTCCCGGTCAGCCCTGCTCGGCGGGGCTGTCGGCCTCGCTGTCACTGCTCTGAGACGGCTCCTCGGGGCTCTCCGGGCGGTGCAGCTCCAGGAAGCTGGTGATGAGCCTGGCGATGGCTTCCACATCGCTGGGCCGGGCGGCACCGGAGGGAGGGCGGTTACCACGGGAGAGGTGCATCCAGAAAGACCACAGCTGCTCACCCAAACCATGCACCTCCCACACCCGAGAGCTCCCCACCAGGACCCAGCACCTTCCGTCCTGGTGCCCATCCTCACCTGGCCCTTGCCCCGCCCTGTCCCGCTGGAACCCCTTGAGGTCCCCATGCTCTGCCTGTCCTCATGGGGACCCCGACATCGCCTAGCGGTGGGGGCACGCCTGCCCCAGCCTCCCCACGGTCCTCTTCCCCTGTGCCCGCCACGCTGGGCGTCTGTTGTGATGGGCGAGGGGCCCAGGCAGCAGCCCTGGCCAGTCCAGCCCCGTCTTCGCTCACCTGTGGTGGCCCATGATGGCGCTCTGGGTGAGGGGGTGTGAGAAGCCGGTGGAGAAGCGCAGCACCACCACGTAGCCCTTCCCGAAGTAGCGCACCTTCTCCTCCTCCACGTTCACGTCCCGGATGTCATTCAGCAGGACCACCACTGGGGGGCAGGGCGGGCGGGTCAGGGGCAGCGTCCCCCCACCTGGGTGCGGGCGCGGTCACTTCCGGGCCATTCTGCAGAGGCTATGCCACGCTTGCCATGAAGCAGAAAGCGTCGGTCACTGTGTCCGAGGCCGAACCCCAGGAGACAGCCAGACCCCGACCTTTGGTGTCACAGGTCAGTGGCCACAGCGCAGGGTCCTGCAGCTGTGGGGTCACGGCCAGTCTGATAAGAAGGAACATCTGGCCCATCGTGGCCTCGAAAGGCCTGCCTGTCCCCCCGTCTTTCTGCTTCATCTCCCCAATGGCTGAGAGTGCCTTCCTGGTCCTGAGTGGCCGGGCAATGAGCTGGGGCTGCCTGGCAGTAGCCTCGGGCCAGGCCGTGTCGAGGGGCCCCCACATCCCCCCCGAGGCGGGATACAACCCTGATTACCGAGCAGCCAGCTTGGACCCAGGCCTCAGGCCCAGTTCCAGCCGTCACTCAGCCCTGGCTGCCCCATCCAGCCCGGGGTAGCCCGTGTCCCGTTCAGTCCCAACGCCTCACCCTGGTCGTGGCCTGCTCGGAGGAGGGTCAGCAGCTTCTTGTACAAGCTGAACGTCTTCAGCACGACCTTGCCGGTGCTCTTGTCGAAGATGGCTTCCTGGAAACGGCCACGGGGTCACCGGCTGCTGGCCGCTGGGCAGGAGCCGCCCACACGAACCCCAGAGGGCCTGGCTTGCCGACTGTCCCACCCTCGCCCTTCCCATCCCAGCGAGAACCCAACACCAGTGCCCAAGCTGCTCTGCCAAAGCCAAACCCTGCAGCCTGACCGAGACCCTGCCAGGAGTGAGCGCAGGGGCCTGGGGCCTCGAGGCAGGTGTTCAAGGACAAGGACAGTGGTCAAGGTCACCCACGAGGGAGCAGGTTCAGAGAGCAGCACAGGGCAGGCAGCTCAAAGGGTCATGAAGAGGGATAAGGGAGGGGGGGCCACCGAGGAAGCGGACTGGCCCCGTTTCATTCTGCGCTGCGGCGACCTCGGGAGGAAAGAATTTGGGCAAAAACAGCCACGAAGAGCTTCTAGGAGAAAAAGGCTTCCGAGGATTCCTGGGCCCAGGAGCAACGCCGGACAGGCACCAGGGCCGAACCCAGGCTCCCAGGAGCCCTGCGCTGGTCTCAGCAGGGAGCCGAGCTGCAGCGGCCTTACCTCCCAGTCCTCTAGGTTCTGCACGGCCACGAACAGGCAGCCGGTGACGTAGAAGATCTTCCAGCCCAGACTATCTGGGGACAAACAGGACACAGCCCGTGAGAGCAGCAGCAGAGCGCAGGCTGCGGGCCCACAGGGGTCCCTCCCCCCAGGGCGGCCGCTCTCCCAGACGCTCAGGGCCACGCTGCCCCAGCTCTGCCCGCTCCCTCTGGCGTCTACTCGAGGCAGGCAGCCGGGTGTCTGCCAATCACAGCATGGCTTGTGGAGGGGAGAGGAGGGGGCCTGAGAGTATGGCTCAACCCGGAACAGAGCCTAAGCAGATACAAGAGAGCACCCTCTCGGGGAATCTCTGTTGACCCAGGAAAATGCCCAAGACACAGTGAGGAGTGCCGGGCATGAGGGAGAAGCCACCAGCACACAGCGGTGCGGCTGTGCCCGTGGGCCCCCAGGAGGCAGAGGGGCGGGCGGCGTTCCCCGAGGCTGGGCCTTGGTGGGTCACCGATGATGGGCTTTCCTGCTTCTCTCTGTTTTCCAAAGAGCCAGGAAGTTGCGGGAGCAGACGCTGCCTCTCACCTGCACTGTAGTAGGCAGCAGCCAGGCCGATGGACAGGATTCCTGCAAAGAGAAAGCAGGGACCTCGCTGTGGGACCACGCCAGCCCAGGGCCCGCCCCCTCCCCAGGACCAGCCATGGCTGCGGGGCGGGGAGCAGGGAGAGACCACCAGGCTCAGAAGCGGGGAGTTCCTTCACAAGCATGGCACGTGCCATTCACAGCATGCAGGTGCCACATCCGTCTCCGTGAGGACCTGGAGCTGACTGGGAGTCGGACGGAGGAGCCAGTGGGGGTTACCCCGACGGTATAAGGTATGGAATGAAGACAGGACTACGTAACGTGTCACAACACAACAGCTGAGGAGAAACGGAGGCGGCCACGTGCAGGGTCATGGGAAAGGACTGGAGACAGGCCACCCGGGGCAGCTGCCCAGCCGGTGGGCCCTCTGATGGGCAGCGATGGGGATGGAGGCCAGGGCAGCCTCTCCACTTGGGGGAAAACAGGGCGCACTGTCACGCGTCACGTGGGCCTGCGGCGAAGCTCAGACACCCGCGAGCAGGTGTACGAGGGCAAGCGAAAGGGGGAACATGGCCGGCCACGTGGCTCAGTTGGTTGCCCCGAGCACCAGAAGGTCACAGGTTCAGTTCCCGGCAGGGGCACATGCCTGAGGTTGCAGGCTCGACCCCCAGCAGGGGGCATGCGGGAGGCAGCCGGTGGATGTTTCTATCTCTCCCTCTCCCTTCTTCTCTCTATAAAACCAATAAAAACATTTCTTAAAGTGTGTGTGGGGTAACAAGGGCGCTCAGAAGAGCATGCAGTGTTAACTGAAGGATGTCAGGTGAACAAGACGAGACACACACATCACGCATGACAGCACAGACGAGGACAAACCCGGGAGAGCACAAAGGAACAGGGCAGCGCTGTGCTTGGGGGTCGGTAGTAAAACAAGGAAGGAAAACTCCAGTGTCCCTTTCACCTATTTCTAAGTGACGTTTCTTATTTGGGGTGAAATATGGAAACCCTTACCGACCAGCAGGGACCAGGACCGGATGCCCGGCGCCCTCTTCAGATGGAGGCGGGAACTGGAGAGCGTCTCCACCTGCATGTACATCCCGGGGCCGCGCGGACGCCACGCTCAGCGGGAGGCCGGCTGGGGAGGGCGGACACGCACAGCTGGGGCCACTGGCCGGACGAGGGCCCTCCAGCTGGCCCCCCCCCCCGATCACCGGGGCCCGGGGGCCGCTGCCTCTGGGAGCGAGGCCCTGCTCTGCTCGGCGACACTGACTGCGCTGGGGCTGCGCGCCCTCTCGGACTCACACCGTCCACGGGCCCTGCCCTCCGCCGCCCATCTCACCTGCAAACCCGTCTCAGGCACCTGAGCCCCAGTGGCCGTCAGGCTCCGGGACCCGCCAGAACCCAGAGGACCGCCCTCGTTTCCCCGGGCCGGTACCGCCAAAACCCGGAACTGCAGGTCTCATCTCCGCAGAGTCTGCCCTGCACCGGCTGCGCGGTGCGTCCCCAGCCGCTGACCCGCACGCGCGGAGGCGCACCCGGCAGACCGGTGCCCGCAGGACGCGGGCGCGGGGGCCGGTTCTGGGGCGCCGCCCAGAGGGTCCCTGCAACGTCAACCCGAACCCGGACAGCGGCGGCCGCAGCGCCGCGCTCCCTCCGGGACCTGCCCGCGCAGCGATGGCACCGCCTGGGCCCCTGCAGCCCCGCGTCGCCTCCCGCGCCCGCACCCCCGACGGCGGCCCCCGCCCGGCGCCTACCGAGAACGCGGACCGGCGGGCGCGGGACGGAGCCTGGGGCCGAGGGGCGGGCGCTCACTTCCGGGTCTGGGGGCGGGGCGGGGCGGGCTTCCGGGGCGGGGCCTCGGGCCTCGGGAGCCTGGAGGTGGGCGCTGTGCAGATGGCAGAGGCGAGCGGTGGTGCGTCCTCCGACGGCCGGACCCTGGCGCACGGAGCGGAGGAAACGCGGCCGGCGCCGACTTCCGCACTTACCCCCGGGAGCGGGGCTGAGGGACCGCCCCAACCGCCCCGGCACCGTGCGGGGCCCTCAGAGAGCGCACGGCCCCGCACAGGTGCTCCCGTTCCTTCCATAGACGCGCAGCGCTACGTGTGCGGGTGGATGTGTTTACAGGGTCCGTTCAGGAGGGAGAACCGCACGGTACTTTGAACAGAGTTTAATATAACGACTTACTAACGGGATTGTAGCAAGGAGGCTGATGGGAAGTAAACTGGACCATAGAGAATGGCAAGAAGCGTCCTAGCTGGTGTGGCTCAGTGGAAAGAGCGAGGCCTGTGGACTGAAGGGTCCCAGGTTGGATTCCGGTCAGGGGCGTGTACCTGGGTTGCGGGCACATCCCCAGTGGGGGGTGTGCAGGAGGCGGCTGATCGATGTTTCTCTCTCATCCATGTCTCTAACTCTATCCCTCTCCCTTCCTCTCTGTAAAAAAAATCAACAAAATATATTTAAAAAGAAATAAAAAATAGAGTCTCATCTTCACCATGCTTTTTTTAAAAAGGAGAATGGCAAGAAGCAAGGCAGAAGCCCCAGGCTATGAAGGGGCTCCCAGGGAGGACCCCACTCTACCCCGGGGCCGCGATCTGGGCCTCGCTGGCGAGGACTAGCTGTGGCTCACCGGGCGGCAGAGGGGCCGCTTGGCGCTGCCCTGGAGGAACCACTGGGAATCCCCCTTGTACTTAAGGCAGCGGTTCTCAACCTGTGGGTCGCGACCCCTTTGGCGGTCCAACGACCCTTTCACAGGGGTCGCCTAAGACCATCCTGCAGATCAGATATTTACATGACGATTCATCACAGTAGCAACATGACAGTGATGAAGTAGCAACGAAAATAATTTTATGGTTGGGTCACAACATGAGGAGCTGTATTTAAAGGGCCAGAAGGTTGGGAACCACTGACTTAAGGGGTCGCCAGGGGACGCTGGTGGACGCTGGGGGCTGCTGGCCACCACGCAGTGTGAGCGCTGAGAGCGGAAGGAGCCCGCGCAACCAGCAGGAAAAGTCTTCCCCCTGCAGTGTCTCCCGGCACCCGCCGCACCCGTCACCGCACGCGCCGCCGACAAAGCGGAACGTCACACCTGCCGGCCAGAAAAGTAACCGTCAGCTCCCTCCCCACGGAGCAGGCACTGGAGTTTGCACTGGGAGCTGACATATAGTGCATTGGTAATAGGCACGATATGCAGGGCTTACTCACTCAGTCCCCTACCTACCGGTACTGTATTTATGTCCAGTCTTTTGCTATTACCAATATTCATCAAGATTTTAACCAAATCAGATATCACTTGCTCCCTTATTTAATATTTGTAGGATGCCGGTGCAGACTTCATCTTTAAATGGTTTATAATCTAGTAGAAAAGGTGGAATTATGCAAATAGCAGTATGCAAAGTGGAATTTTCCAGGGTATCAACTGAAAGGTTCCAGGTTCAATTCTGGTCAAGGGTACATACCAGGGTTGCGAGCTCAGCCCCCACTGTGGGGCGTGCAGGAGGCAGCCAATCAATGATTCTCTCATTGATGTTTCTAACTCTCCCTCTCCATTCCTCTCTGAAATCAATATATATTTTTAAAATATATACAAACCTATTGTAATATAGACTATTGGAACATATTGGACCTTATTTAGACCCAATTTAAAAAAGAATGAGATGCTTGGGGAACCTAGACACTGACTACATTTTCCCCCAAAATATATTCTCATTGATTTCAGAGAGGAAGGGAGAGGGAGAGAGATACAGAAACGTCAGTGATGAGAATCATTGGTGGGCCGCCTCCTGCACCCTGCCCACTGAGGATCCACAACTCAGGCATGAGCCCTTGACCAGGAACGAAACCCGGGACCCTGCAGTCTGCAGGCCCACGCTCGATTCACTAAGCCAAACCAGCCAGGGTGACACTGACTACATTTTTAAATGAAACTAAGTGCCCGTACTTTGCTTTTCCCCCCACGTTATGGCATTGTGTTTATGTTTTCAAAACATTAACAAAAATATATACAAATGACTACCCAAAATTATCTGCTTATTCATGCTGAAAATGGAAGATGTCTTCTGAGAGGTGCTGACATCGATTTAAGCAAAGCAGAGCGATAAGACCTGAATTAAAGGGATGCATTTATAAAAAGCTGCATGCACCCAAAATTCTATAAATAAAAAAACTTAATGGGGAAAATCCTGAAGACTCTAGTGAGGTTTCTGGGACCTGGACGGGCCTTTAAATATCTTGTTGAGCCCTAGCCGGCTTGGCTCAGTGGATAGAGCCTCAGCCTGAAGACTGAAGGGTCGGGGGTTCGATTCCGGTCAAGGGCATATGCCTGGGTTGCAGGCTCAATCCCCAGTGGGGGTGTGAGGGGCGTGCAGGAGGCGGCCAATCAATGGTTCTCCCTCATCACTGATGTTTCTCTCTTTTCTTTCCCTCTCCCTTCCTCTCTGAAATCAATAAAAAAAAAAATTTAAAAAAATCTTTTGTTGACCTCTGGGGCTGCGAGGTTCTGGGATTCCCGAGGAATGCTGGTGTTTGATAAAGACAAAGACACCCACAAGATCCTTTGCTTACTCTCCCCTGAATTCTCAGTTCTGATTGTCCTGCAAGAGTATGCGCTGATTTTATAAAACATTCATTATTATCAGTTGGACATTTCCGGTTAGCCCTACACGTGGTACCATTTCTTGGAGAAAAAAAAAAGTTCTTGGTAAAGTGTAAGGGCAGAGTCACCAGCATGCCCGCTAGGACGCCGTGGGCCGACGCCAGCGCCCTCGTGCTTCGGGGACCACGTGCGCCCGGTCCGCCGCGCATGCGCACTGCCGCCTCGCCAGGCCTACGTGCCGCGCCTCGGGGTGGCAATGGCGGCGGGCCGGGGCCGCACTTCCGCCCCTCCCCGCCAGGGCGGCACCGTCTCCCTCGGGTCTGCGCCGGCCGGGCGGCGCGTGCCTGGCGCCGAGCCGCGGGTCCCGGACCCCCCGAAATGATGCCAGCTCCCTGCTCGGGGCGGCCCGCCGCTCGCTCACGGCCTTCGCGTCCACCGGGTGGGTCGGGGCCTCGCCCCGCCCCCGCGCATCCCGACTGGCTGCGGGGCCCAGCCCTCCCCCCGCCCCGCATTCTCATTGGCCGAGCGGCGCCGCGGGGTGGGGCCGAGCCGGGGCGACTCCAACAAAGGGCGGCGGGCGGCCGGCGGCGGTGACCGCTCTCCCCGTGCTTCCTGCAGGTCACGCGCGCCGGCCCCCGCCCGCCCCGCTCCAGATGAAGTGTGAGCACTGCACGCGGAAGGTGGGCCCGCGCGCCGGTGCGGCCGGGGGTCGGGGTCGGGTCAGGGGCCGGGCCTCGTGACCAGGGGTCGGTGCGGCTGGGGGTCAAGGGTCAGGGATGATCGCCGCCGGCCCGGGAGCTCCGTCCGCGGCGCGTCCCGTGGGAGCGTGGGCAGGCGCCACGTTCTGGATCGGCAGCTCCGGGCCCGGCGTCACCGCGGCCTCGGGAGCCCGGGGTCGGACGCGGGCCGCTCGGATGGGACCGTCTGGGTTCGGTTGGACCGACCCCGGCTGGGCAGGAGCGCTCACCCTGCTGCGGCCCGGATAGTGCCGCCGCGGACCTGGACTTCGCAATCGGCTCCAGTTCTCGGAGCGCCGAGCCAGCCATTCAAAATGCTTTTTCCTTTTTGAAGCCAAAATCCCCAGAAAAGTAGAACAACCTGTTACCTCTCAGGGCCGGCAGAACAAACCCCGTTCTGGAAGTCAGCCATTGATACGATGTTTTTCGGGTTGTTTTTTAACTTTGCAAAAAACGTAAGTGCTTGTAGTAACGAAACAGTCCAGAAGTGTGGCCCGCCTCGCCACCTGTGTAACCATGGTAACTCGCGGCCTTCCTCCGTTTCTAGGCCGCAGTAACACAAGTAACCGCGCAGCGCAGGCAGAGGGATTGTTTTGTGTTTCTAACTATTGAATCGCATCGTGAATGCTATTCCATCAGTTGCTCTTTTCTGTAACCTAACATGATGCAGGAGGCGGCTTCTCAGAGCGTTCCTTGTGTTTCTAGTTCATTGTGTTCCAAGTCCATGTGTGGCCAGGTAGTCGGGCCCTAATTTACCTGCTGGTGCCAGGCACATGGTGTCCAGGTTTCAGCTAATAGGAATATACAGGTGAGGTGGCGGGCAGGTGTGTCCGCCAGCACACGTGCTTTTATTTTATTTCACATATATGTATATGTACGTATATGTGTGTATGTATATGATTTCAGAGAGGAAGAGAGGGAAACATCAACGATGAGAGGGAATCATTGATCGGCTGCCTCCTGCACGCTCCACGCTGGGGATCAGGCTCTCAACCCGGGCCTGTGCCCTTGACCGGAATGGAACCTGGGACCCTTCAGTCCACAGGCCGGTGCTCTATCCATGAGCCACACCAGCCAGGGCAACATGTGCTTTTATTTACCTAGAAGAGATTTCCACTCATGAGGTTAATTGACAGAATAGGTATGCGTTTTTTAATTCAGAGAGTCAAAGTTCTTTTATCTGTTTTCTGTGCCTTTTCAAGGAATGTAGCAAAAAAACAAAAACCGATGACCAAGAGAATGCCTCAGTCGATGCCCCGAGTCCGGCCCAGGAGAACGGAGAGGCAAGTCGAGTTTTTTCCATTTCGTGTCAGCCCGGAGGAGACAGCAGCTGCTGGCTTCTCCCCTTTGGGGCTCATGTCAACCCATGTCCTTGCTTTGAGGAAAAGAGAAGTGAGACGTGAGTGGGTAAT